ATAATAATATTAATCATTAGAAGTAATGAGTGTCAAATATAAATTAATTGCTTCCAACATTTACCGAGAACTTCCCAGTAAACTTAAGTATCCTCCACGTGCATCTTTCCACGTCTACAAACATCAGTGGCGTGTTGTAGTTAGAAAGAGTTCAACTATTCGATAAAGCGTCCCGCACTCTCTTACAAATTTTGCCGGGTTTTAAGGAGAGTACTAACTAATTGATGTATTAACATTTCACGATACCAATGTGTCTTCATCTATGGGGACGGATATAATACGACGCTGGCGTATTTATGTATAGGAGTATATATCGGATCAATTACCGAAAATATCAATGTGTTTCTTTCGGGAAGATGAACAAGTCTCGAGCGATGTGAATACCAGAGTAGAGTTTCATAAAGTTGTCGGAGCTCGCTATAGGACAACAGGTATAGATTATGCATCATACGAAGCGTCATAAGAAACGAAATAATAACGACGATGACGTTTGAGAAAGGGATTAACGAGAAACAATACGAGTTAGTACTCCACTTAATCACCATACGAAGAAAGGGGATGGCGAATGCAGAGAGGGATAGTAATTTAAACATCACGATGATCCCATTCCAAATCATGAGGTGAATTGTGACGGCGATGTCGGCCATTGCTCAATTCGCAATCGTTCTCGCAATCGGAACTGTCCAAGTCGTCATCTCTGTACGATCCATCTTCCGAGTCAGAACTTCCCGAATCGTCCACGTCCTCGTCTCTCTGACTCTGGTGATGAGGATCGTGCTCTGTGAGCCTCTCCATGGGATTCACGGTGATAGCCAATGCAGAATCGTCCCAGGCCATTTCAGTTTCGGCAGCCAGCTCGTCCCCGGCGGATGGTCGTCTCTTCGCGGCTCCTCTCACTCTCGCCGCTCCGACCACCGCCATTAACAGCAAGAAACAAATGCAAGCGGCTACGACAATCGTGACTGCGTGGCTACCGCTCGCGCCTCCGACGCTTCTGTTGCCTTCGCGAAGCGCGGCTGTCGCGTACTCCTCCGGCAAATCTGCGTGATGCGGTGACAATTGCGCGTGTCCGGGCGCTGGTTCGAGAATTCTGGCGATTGGCGGCTCGTCGGGCGTGGAATGGGGAAGAGCAGTGGTCTTTTCTTTCGGATGAATGACGGCGAGGGTTTGCACGTACTCGTTGCTGGCGAATCGGCCGCTAAGTTCGGAGCAGGTCAGCTTGAATACGCGATCGAGATAGTAAGCTGGCTTG